TCTCCAGGAAACAAGAGGGAAAAGTAACCCTAACACGCAATATTGTGCAACTTTCATTCTCCACACAGTCAGTGGTGTGAGCCCCGAGGGCTATGGCTGAGCCATCAAAAAGTGGGCAGGAAGATGAGCATTGCGAGGGTGTTTGCCCACCAGTCAAGTGGGGGTGGGAGGTAAGACTAAGGAGAGAGAGACCGATTCCAGGAAACAAAAGGGAAAAGTAACCCTAACACGCAATATTGTGCAACTTTCATTCTCCACACAGTCAGTGGTGTGAGCCCCGAGGGCTATGGCTGAGCCATCAAAAAGTGGGCAGGAAGATGAGCATTGCGGGAGGGTGTTTGAAAGAATAATATCCTCATATTCATATTGGGAAGTCCATAGAAATGCCCCAAACTGAGAAGCCAGAAGTAGCAGCATCAGCATATTATTTAGAATCAGTTAAGAGTTCCAGCAGTTGCCCCTGAGGAACAGGAAATGGGGGCAGGGGTGTCAGGAGGCTGCTGTGTGTGTGACTAGAATCATTTGACTCTGAAACCATGAGCATACACAACTTATTTTTTAAAAAAAACTTAAAAAGGGAAAAAATTAAGGGAGAAATTGCCTACCTACTAGTTCAGCATAGGTTGTGAGGTTAAAAAAAATAGTAACCGTGTTTGGCGGCAGAGGCCCCCCAGTTTCACAGGTCACTTGCTTATCTGCTCACAGTTGTATCCTTCCACAAACAATGTGGTGTAGCTTTCAGGGAAAACAGACAGAGGGCAAAAATAAGTTATGAGGGGTCAGCGAAAAAAGAAAATTGAGCCAAAAGAGTTCATACAGAAGCAAACTCCATTAAGTCCTGTAAAGGTGGGACAGGTGGGTCAGAAACTTGGTCTGGAGCTTCCCAGGAGCCAAAGCAGAGACAGAAGAAACACAATTTGTTTCAAGATTTACAGTTTCCACAGATGAAAACGAGCCAGTGCCCTGGAAAGGCCTGTGGATTACAGGCTTTGGGGCCTGAGAGGAATTGTTCCCCGTGGGTCTTCCTAGAGAAGCCAGCCTGTTCCCAGCAGGCTCCAGCAGGCCTCCGTCCTCTTCCCCGGCTGGCCAGGGCCGGCAAGGGGCTCAGAGCCGCCTCACTCCCAGGCTCTGTGCAGGGCGGCCTGGTGCTCAGAGCCTCCTTCTCCCTGTGCAGGGCCATCCCTTTGTCACTCTCAGGTTCAGGAGGACACATCACTGGGAGCACATAATTGAGTGGAGTCAAGTTTTACCCTAAGCCACACCCTCAGCCACACCCCCACTCCCCACCCCAGGCTGTCCCCTTTGCCCTCCCATGAGCCTCCCTTCTGCCCAGAGCCCCCAGCAGCATGGCAGACCTCCAGGGAACCCAGCCTCTTGAAACCCAGGCCAGAAGCGCTGAGCCCACTGTTCTTGGTGCAGGGCCATCCCTTTGTCACTCTCAGGTTCAGGAGGACACATCACTGGGAGCACATAATTGAGTGGAGTCAAGTCTTGCCCTAAGCCACACCCTCAGCCACACCCCCACCCCCCACCCCGGGCTGTCCCCTCTGCCCTCCCCTGAGCCTCCCTTCTGCCCAGAGCTTCCAGCAGTAGCAGACCCTCCAGGAAACCCAGCCCCTTGAAACCCAGGCCAGAAGAGCTGAGCCCACTGTTCTTGCAATGTACGGGAGGCCCATTTAGCAGATGGGGGGTTCCCAGGTCCAGGCAGATGGAAGGCCTGACCCAGCTGAGAGGGGTAGTGGCCTCTCTGAGAGCACAGACCCAGGTGGCCCCCTGCGTGGACGGGGACTCCCTGCCCTTGGGCGCTGGGGCTTGTAGTCGGGGCTGTGGACACCCAGGAGAAGGCTCTTCTCTGGGGAAGTGACTTGTCCAGAGAAAACCAAGAGCATTTCCTGCGTTCCATAGAAATGCTTACAACGAAAACGGATCTTGAGTGGGTTTTTAACAGAACCTTTGTTTATATACAAACATATATCATTGTATCATGCATTATGCATTTATTATATAACATATTTTTTAAATTTGTATTATGGAAAATTTCTCCAATATGTATATAAAAGTGAAGAAAATAGTGAACCCCACATGGCCATTGCCAGTGGCATATCCCATTTCATCCCCAGCCCCATCCACTCCCTCCACACACCCCGCCCCCAGCATCTTAAGCAAATCCAAGACATCATTTTATTTCAAATGTAATTATTTTAGTACGTATTTCTAAAAGATGGACTTAAAGAGCACACACAGGACCACAATACTATTACCCCTGTCAATGTTTTTAAAAATCAAAGTTTATTCGCTCTTTCCAATTGTAGAAATAATACTTGCTTATTGGAGGAAATTTGGAAAGTAAGGAAAAGTTGAAAGAGAAAAATTTATTCGTAAGCTCAGAACCCAGAGATGACCTCTGTTGAGATGTGGGTGCTTACTTCTCAGTGTCTTTTCTGTGCAGGAAGACACACACAGGTGAACCCCCAGCCCCTGTAATTGGGACCAAGCTGTGTTTTTGTATCCTGCTTGTTTGCTTAGTTCTCTACCAGGCCCATCATGAACAATCCCCCACGTCATTAAGTCTTTAAAGACTCCCTTTTGAATGACTGCCGAACTTGAGTGGGTGGCTGGCTGTGCAAGGCCTGCCTTATATGTACCTGGAGCACATCTAACTTTCCCTGGCCCAGGGCTCCTGCCCTCAACTGTGAAAACGTGTGTCTCTGGATCTTTGGGGCCCAGACAGGTGAGGCCAGGCAACCCTGGGCCCAGGGAGGTGGGCAGCAGCCTCAGCCAGCAGCCTGACCACCCCCTCCGGGCCAAGCACACACAGCTCTCATCCTGCCTGAACCCCCGAGGCCCAGGTCACTCACCTGCAAAGGGGATCCTCCCACCCACCTCCTAGAGCTTTGGCAAGGATTCAGTGAAGCACCTGGCACGGAGAAGCCCACAGTTGTGCAGGCCAAGCTGTGCTCAAAGCTGCTTTATCTTGGCCTGCCCTTCATGCCCCCGGCAGTGGTTCCTAAGTGATGACCACCCCAATCACCTGAGGATTGTTCACAGCTGCTGATGGCCCACTCCCAGACATTCAGATTTGGGGCGCAGAGTAAAACCTGAGCAGGGCTCCCAGGTGTTCTAATGTGCAGCAAAATTTCTGCTTTGGGTTAGTGTTCGCCACTCACCCCCCCGCCCCAAGTTGTCCCCATTCTAGGCAGCAGTCATTGATGTCTGAAAATCTAAAGCAAGTCCCCCTAGTTTTGTCACTAAGCTTGGGTAAATGCCAACACCCCAGAGCAGTCATGGGATTAAGCCCGCTATCGACGGGCTGGTTTCTTGCTCTTTGGGGTCCTTTCCAATGTAGTAAGTAGCTAAGGGCAGGCCTCAATGGAATTGGGGAAGAGGGCTTGACCACTGAGGTCAGAGCTGTGACACCTGGGCCTCGGGCAGGGCCTGTAATGGAAGGAAGAGCAGGGCGGCCCGAGGCAGGCCCCTGAGGTCAGCA